ATATTGAGGCAGAAATGCTTACAGAAAACGACAGGCAGAAATAAATAGCATGGAAGAAATAAATTGGGTAAAAAAAATACAAAGGAAGAAAAAAACAGACAAAAATATTATAACATGCACATAAATAAATACTTTAAAAAATAAGTAATAAATAAATAAAGTTAAAGATTATAACGGACAATAAATAAATAAGGTAATTATTAAAAAGAAGCTAATTAAAAGAGCTATATACATGTATGTCTCACTGTGTAATTTAATTTCTATCTACATTTATTTGTTTATTGTACTTTTAGTGGGGAATTAATTGTATGCTTATTTATTTTTGGAGAATTTATTTATTTCTGTATTTATTTTTAATTATGGCAGGTTTGGTCCTCCATAAAAGCCTGTTAATGCAAATCTGGAGGACAGCGGCCCTCGAGGACCGACTTTGGGGATGCCTGACCTAAATGATGTAATAAATGGCTTTCTGTTGACACTTAAAACTATAATTCCTATTTCTTCAATGCTTTCTGGAACAAAGTGGGCTGAAAGTTACTGCAGTGTTGTTGTTCTGCCCATGGAAGGCAGTTTGGAGTACAAGTATTTTCAGACTGGAGTTTTATATAGGCAACATTTTCCAGGAATTGGGAATAACCTCACACTTTCTGAAAAAAATAAAATAAAAATGGAACCGAGCATTAAGACCTGCAGTATGAAGGTAGACTTTGTGAAAAGAAACAGGCTTCCAACACCACTGGCCTTCCAGCACCCATGAACGGATTTATTACTTCTCCATAGCAAAGGCCAGAGGGTCCTTCCTACAAAAGCAGGCACAGTTTGTTGCACGAAAAGAGCCACTTCAGGTAAAAGCTAATAGAGAATTTAAACTGTGTATCTATTAGATGAAGGAACAGTCCCTGACATATTTCTCTTTTTCCTCCTAAAGACTGGAAACCCCTTCATCTTTGCATGCATGTTTAAAACAATCCTTAAAAGTGTTTCACCCAAGACATTTCTCATAAAATTACAAGATTTATATTCTGGTCCATTTATTCTGACATCTTTTCCTTCAAACTTTAAATATAACATAAAACATTTTTGAAAAATTTCGCTATTTAAAAGTATAATGGAGGATGTTCTTTTTCCGGGTGGATCATCTAAATAAGTGGTCCTCCTAATTGTCAATCATTCTGGTCATATGTTTACATAAGGCCGTCCTACGTGCTCGTCCCCGTTGTTACTTACCAGCAGTGAGTCTGTCATGGTGGAAAAATTGCAAATCTCTTTTAGAAAGTAAGCTTGTATGAGCGATGCAAACAGCAACTTTTAAACAGAGTGTGCATGAGGAGAAATGGGCTCATGCACGCTCTTGCATGTGTTTATTAGGCGTTCCCTCTGGGTACAGGGTTGTGCATGTGCATTTTTTGTTTTTTTAAGTCAAGGTGCAGGTCTTTTCAAAAATTCGCCAAAATCCTCACTATACCTTTCATAAAACGGTCAAACCATCATCAGAATCTCGTTTTTTGTATTTTATTTATTTATTATTAAAGTAGCCCTCCTGCCATCTGCTGGTAAAGCGATGAATTTTGGCGGCCGTTAAAAATAAAAACGGGTTTTGCAGATAGTTGAAGGCAGTAGCTTCATGTATCACTGAGTAGGTGGTTTGACAACTGAATTTCTCTATCAATTCAGTCCATTTAACAACACTTCAAAGTTAATCTGCAGCAGTGCTTCAGTAAACATGAATTTACAAGTTAGTTAGTAAAAAAACAAGGATGGCAGAGCTAAATGTTCTTGGCAGAACATGCCCCTAGCGCCTTTCAAAATGATTTGTGAGGCGGGAAGCTTAAGGAAAAAGAGAAATACGTGAGGGACTGTACCTTCATCTAATAAATACACAGTTTCAATTCTCTATTAGCTTTTACCTGAAGGGGATGACGTCATACACACTCTGCTTTGTTTAAAAAAATACATAAATATAAAAAATATAACCGCGGATGTCTGGTGGACAGTGATTCGCCTACATTTAATGAATGCTGGCGTACTATAAAGAATAAATTATGAACAGTTTAGTTTGTGCCTTCAACTCGTTGCCCATAGGAAGACGTTACTTGGATATAACCTAACGGAATATCTTCAGAACGGCTCCAAATGACACAAAACTAATATGGGTGAGTAGAACATGATGTAATAACGTAAAATCAAGGGGCCAATGTAAAAAAAAAAACGGTGTTCCCCTTTAAAACACAGAGAGCACCACGATTTGGCGCTCCACATGAGAAGGTATCTATAGCCTACCGAGGCCTTGTTTTGCCTGATGAACTGGCTATTCAGTGTCTGGAAGTGATGCTCCTTGGCTCAGTGTGCAGCATTCAAGGGTAAGATGTTTGGTCATTTAAAATTCTACAATAATAGTTCCACTTACAGTATTGGTATTCATAGTCAATTGCACACTGCAGTGACAGTTGCAGGTCCTTAGTGGTTTTCTATACCAATTTTGCACTGAAATTCTGCCATTCTTCTTTGCATAAACTCTCAGACTCAGTCCGATTGGATTACAATGAATGATAAAAACTTATCAAAGCATGCATTTAGCTCTAGTTATCTGCCAACAATACTGGTTAGCTTCTGTAATTATTTGACTCCTGGTTTTCCTCTAGCAAATTCTTACTGCTACTTTTCCATCAGGGATAAATTATGAATATGGAAGGCACAACTTAATGTTATCCTGTCTACAAATGTTCCAGTATGAGATGTGGATTTCTGCGGGTCCTATAGAGTTATGATGAGCTTCCTCTCTGCTTTACTAATGAAAGCTCTCAATGACTGACCAGTCACTTCAAGTAGAATGCTGCACATTTGTATTTCTGCACACAGTGCATGCTTTTTCTATTTTCTGATGATGGAATGAAAGTTGCTAATGTGAAATGTTAAAAATGTTAAAGCACTTTATTTTTCTTTTTAGGAATTCTTTACATTTCTCCACAGCATTATCTTTGACTTGCTTTGTTTGTTTGCCTTATTCTATTTTTGTGCACTTATCTTCTCAACTGACGTAAAGGCAAACAGAGAACACCTGGATTTAAACCGACTCTTGATTGACCACAGACGAATGATTTTAATTAAAAAGGGAACCTCTGAAGGTTGAAGATTTAATATTACCAGAGAAAATGGAACTTCCCTTGGATGAATGCCACTCTGTTTCTTATTTTTTTGAGAGAAAATAAATTGAAAAACACGTAGAATTTTCCTTTGATTTCACTGCTTTTTGTTGTTCCTAAACATAAAATCCAGATAAAGCAAATTGAAGTTTGTGATAGTGAAATGACAAAATCAAGAAAAAAAGGTCAAGGTGTATTAATAGTTTTGCAAGGTTTTTGTTTTTAATTCAGTAGGAAAAAAATGTCTGACTTCATTAATGTTTCAGGTATGTGCTGGATGGCTTTCCAGTGACTCTTAAGCAGGTAAAACTCATGAAGTCTCAGAGTATCATCCCAATAATAGTATTTGAGCTTAATGTCAATACAGTGGAGGTTCTTAGGAGAAGTTGTG